TTTTGAGAACTCTAATTATGGAAGACTCTCATTCAGTTGGTTTTTAAGTATGATTACTAATTTCTCTTGTTTCCATTCTGCACAGTTCTGTTTTCAGTTTGATTGCCAATCCTCCTGGCACATTTCTTGTTGTATGGACTACTGGCTGTGCATCTTTTCTAAGAGTAATGTGATCAGTAATTGGAAAATACTCAATATCATGAATGACGTTTTCATAACTGCTGAACTATGGAGGTATTTTTTTCTGTGATACTTCTACACTGTCTGAGCCAACACAATTTACTATTTGTAACTTTTCAGATGTCTCTAAGCCCATGATAGTTATTTGTAGATTTTGCATACAAAGTGCCTTTCCATTGCAAAATGAGTTCAGAGCAGTTCAGTGTAGCTACTGTATCTCTAGTATGCCATGAATCTACATGGGAATTCAGCTTCACTTCTGACACCTTATGTTATTCATTTATGAAGAGGCAATGACACAAAAGGTGAACTGACTGTATTTGTTAAGATCAGAGTTGAACTCATGTCTTATCAGGAACAAAGAGGAACTTAATATTTTGCAAGCAACATACCATAGCATAGGTAGGTTCAGCTTTTGTAAATACCAACTTCTTAAATGGGAGGTGGCTGAAATTATACTTAGCTAGTTTTAAATTTTGGTGTCAGATTATTGCTTTCTACATTATAGCTTAACAAAATGTCTCCTATGGTTCAACTGACATTATTTCAAAATATTGCCTTGGTGCATAGTTTGGGTATTAAGCTGAGCAAAGATCAATTACTAAAAAAAGGTGTGACATCAGATATGCCTTGTAGATGTGGCATCAAATAAGTATGTATGTCTGAATACCTTTTGAAGTGGTTGACAGCTTCTGCCTTTTAGGATCAATCATCAGCATTTAAAGGAACAAGCAGTCAAGAAATGCACTGCGGACCAGCAGTTAGTAGAACAGTCATGAAGGCCTTGGAAAATATATTCAGATGCTGTAATGTGTCCATACCTACAAAGATCAGAATCATGCAAGTAATGTTATTCCTTGTGACAGTCTATGGAAGTAAAAGTTGATGCTTTTGAACTTTGGTGTTAGAGAAGACTCCTGAGAATACTGCGGACAACGAAGAAAACAAAAATCTACCTATATGGTCATTAGAGTCAACACCAACTTGATGGCACATAGTCAGTCAATCAATCAATCAAAGAGCTGAAGACTCAGGTCCCAATTTTATCGTCACAACAATACTGTGTAATAAGTTTGAGTATTGGTAAAATTTCATTTAGGCTGACAACTAGACATAGCTTCATTGTATTAGGGCTACACGCAGATAAATAGAATTGTGGTGTTGTTGAGTTTCCTGGGTGACTGGAGGTATGAATTTAAGTTATCCCAGATAAAATTTGGTTCTAACTGGGTAACCTCAAAATGTCCTCAAGATTTCTCCAAATGCATTTTTCAGTTTGATTTCAACTGATTCAGCTTTTTAGAAACATCACCTTGTAAAATTAAATATGAGTATAACAGAGGTTACAGTCCCACTCAGAACTACACTCATCAGAAAAAAGTACACTCCCATACTTTTATATGTGTCCTATGGCTCAACTTTTATACATGACTGCAGCCTTGATCAGTCAGCACTGCAGTCATCTACAAGAAAAATCATGTATATTTATGAATGGTATTTCAAATACTTATTTAAAAATAAATAGAAGCCATAAAGACCCTAATTCAGATGGAGACTTTTTTTTGCTGAAGAATGTTGGCTTAATCCTTCTGAAGCCAACCCCACCCACATTATTATTTGACCTATCAGGTAAAATTACAATTAAAATAAACGAATGGCCCTCCCCTCCATCAATGGTGAGACAAATGGTAACCAGGGAGGGAGATTTTTACCTAAAACATTTGGAAGAAAGAGTTGACTCATTTCCCTTAGTTCCAGTGATCTATCCCTCCAATCATTCACAAACATCACTGAGAGATCCAATCCACTGGTCTCTTGAATGAAATCTAGACTGGCCTTGTGTGATTGCCTCAGATTCAGAAAAAGTTCCCCAATCTGTACCGAATCAAACACCAAGTTTATTTTAAAATCTTGTATTGTAAATGTAGGCTTATGTTCAATATGATATGTAAGACATTAAAGACATGAGTTAAGTATCAGTCTTAGTTAAACATGTTTAAATAGACTGTTGAATGACTAAACTTGTTTGTGAAAGCAACAAGACTGAGTGCCTTAATATATAAAATTACCAATATTTTGAATGCTTTCAGTTTTTCAAAAGCAGAGATTTAAAATTATGCAAACAAATTTTGGCAACTGTAACTTATTTAGGATACTAAGTATCATAAGCCTGATGGTACTTTGAAAATATTTGGAAATACTTTTAAAAAGAAAATGTTAACAAAATCGATGTTTTTAATTCTAAGGAATCAATTCTGGTAGGGTTATGTTACTCTCAGAAGATTTCATTTAGGCCCTAAACACCCTTTAGTAGCCCCACTAAGTAGATGGGAATAATTTTGAGGTGCAACCTGGGTCACCCAAAATGTATTTTAGATAAGACACAGATGTGAAAGGTAGATAAGTGGTATGCTAGCTGTCTCTAGTTTTGATGTGCTTTGGGCAAGTTGCTCTCAGTAGATCTTCTTCCCAGAGTTGTTCTAACACCTTCTGACTGACCTCTTCTGATCACTTATTTACCTCAATATGAGGTTAAATGCTCATATTCCAGAATGAGATCAGTGGTGTGCTGAAGCCACCTTGTACTGGCTCACAATGAATTGTTTATTAAATTTTCAGGAATTTTGCAAACCAGTTGAGAGCAGAGCTGAGCTGCAATGCCTAGCACACCTATCAGCTGTTTGGCAGCTAGTGGCGAGGTATGGTGGTGGCAATGGAGCTTGCAGAGACAGTTGTTATACATTTATTACTACATCACTACATGAAACAATGTAAAAATCATAGGTAATCTTATTAATCCAAACCCCAGATGCCATTAAACTGCTGAGTAACCTTACAAAATTATGGTGATGTAGGTTTTACAGTGCTGATAGATGTGCCATACACTGAAATCCATTAAAATGAGACATTATTCCATTAAATTCCATTAAACAGATATAAATTTCAGTGTTGTACATTGGGATTTATTTTATTCCTAATGAAAAAAAAATACAGGCAACCTCTTTCCACAATAAGCACTTGACAGAAATGTGAATGACCCATGGTTAATCTAACCCCATTTCTACATTAATTCAGTAGAATTGTTCATGAGAAAACTAATTGTACTTCTAATCAGTTAAGAGCAATATAACGTAGGAGACATATTGTATAGAATGTTTCTGACCCAGGGATAAGCTGACCCAATAAGAAACTGTTCAATTCAGTGAAGATAATATACAGGATGCATTTGTGTTTACAGTCAGTGTTTGCATTCAGAATGCTCTAGGTTTTGTCACTGCCATCTTCATATTGGGTTGGCAAAGTATGTGTCTGAAATCCTGAAGTACAGTCAAGTTCAAAAACACTAGACTAGATGAACCCATGATCTGATTCAGGAAAGGGCAATTTCTTCTTTTCCTGTGTAGTGTGTCTCGCCTCCACCAGATGGTGGCAGAATTTTCTATATAGCAATCTTCCTGCCTTCCGATCTGTCCATTCCCCATGCCAATAAGTTCAGCTTTTTCAGAGTGTTAAAGAAATTTGCATTCTGTTTAGTTTCTGAGTAAACCTTGTAAGAATCTATAAGGCTCATCAGTAGCATTATACTAATATTTTAATTGGAGGGTTGAAAGATTGAAAGATAGTGGTTTACTTAAAGTCACTTAACTGCTTTTTGGCAGTTGATTACACAATTCAGGATTATTTTTCAGTGTAGTCCACTGATACTACCTCTGCCACTTAACAATGACATAGTTTTGCACATCTGTGATCTGTGTTTTGATCAAAGTGGCTGCATAATTTTCAATCACCCCAGCTTTGGAAACATTGACAAGAAGGGATAATCTACGTATGAGTATTTAATGTGAGCTTCATTAAGATGAAGGTAGCTTTTAGGCTCAGACCTTCAGTGAAAATAGCATCACCATGATGGTTAGCAGATAACTCTAATCATGGGGGGGGGGGAGTAGAGGGAGCTATGACATTTTCAAAGTAAAAGGGGTGCCCACAGATGAGGGCCCCAAGCTCAACTTTTCCTTTGGTAGGCTGTCTTTGTTACTTCATAAATGCTAGAGACAAAGAGGCGAATAATTCACTCTTGATAGCATCACTACAAGCAATTTTTCTTCCTCCTGGCCAAATATCTATGATTGGAGATCTAAAAGACTCTGAAAATGGGTGACAATAAGCCAGACGTAGGGGAAACAATTAGCTAATTCCATCTGCACGCCCTTATCTTTTAAAAATGAGGCCCTTGCCCATTAAAGCAGAGTCCTACTGTTTTCAAATGTCATTTGAGCTTCAGTGAAATAATGTGATCAGATCTCATGTTGACATCTTCTATAGGATATATAGCAACAGCAGTATAATGCATTGTCTTCTGTTTTTATCTAGTTTTGAGCAAAACCAGGAAAAAAAATAATGTTTTCTATTATTTCTACTATATTTCTCACACAAAGATAGTGATTTTGATTTTATCAATTGCCCTTTGATTTGATCTATAAATGTTTTAATGTCACTGGATCCAGTAAAAAGAAAAGGAAATACAAATATATTTAACATGTTAAATAAGCAAACTCCAACTGAATGCTAGATGCAAAAAGGGTGAGGATTCTTTATGAATTATAATTGATGTATTTTTAAGTGAAGAATTTTAATGTGACCTTCATCTGGCATTTGTTTTAACTTTTCTTCTCTTTTTCTTATTTATTTTTCCACTTCTGTTGTTCAGTTAGTATTTGACCCCTTTAGTGGAGATGTAAATGAAATGACATTTCAGTGCCATCCCATATTTAAAATACTGTGATAGTTGTGCCTCTTAAAGGATGATCTACATTCTTAAGCTCATTTATTCATTTAACAATTTCCCTCCAGAAGTTCCAACAGAAGGCTCTGAAACAAACTAAGCAGAAGAAATCTAAGTCGTCTGACTTTCTGATGGCTGAGCTTTGCTCGATGAGTTATTGCTCATAATTTGTGTAAGGATTAATTAAATAATTACAGACAAATGGCTGTAGGCAAAATTTTGTTCTTGCTTGTCAGAGTGCAGTTTGTAATTATTTTAATCATTTGTCCCCCCCCTTTTTTTTAATAAAGAGTTAATTTTAACTTAATTCTATTTTGGTGATATTTGATGCTGATACCACACAAGTAAATGAATGATTAGAAGGAATGCTCTGCTTGTCATTGTCTTGGGTACTCTTTTGACCTTGTTGCTTTTTTTTTTTCTCCAACAACAAAAGATGAGGAAGTTGCAACTGAAGTCTTTGAAAACCTGGCTTTTAACATCAGTATTACTGATATTTCAGCACATCAGACTTACAAGGTGGGACTTATTAGACATGACAAGCTGACTAGCAGTCTTGCAGCTCACCAACAAAAACTCAGGTTGCGAGCCCAAGCTGAACCAAGAGGTGAGACTTCACTCTTGATCATCATCAGCTTGAGTGACAGTGGTTATGTCCTTGATCTAACCTGTCCATTCCATGTTGTTTCAAACATTCCATCATGACTTTTTCCCCCCTATAATAAAAGCATTTTGAAACTGGAAAAGCAATATGATCGTTGAAAATATAATTTTTTGGAGAACTGTTTTTTATGACCTATAGTTTCTAGGGAAATGCATGCTAGAAGAAGTTTCACTGTGTCTTCCTCTGTACTGTATTGCTATGTAAGCTATGTTAAAAGTAAAAAAGACTGAAATTCAACACGATAAAGGGCAGGAGAGTTTTTTCACTACAGTAGTATCAATCTTATAATAAAATTAAATAGCAGATGCCTTCAAGATGCTGTTTGTCAGCCAGTGATTACCTCTTTAACTTATTTTAACCTCTTTAACATATTTTAACCTCTTTAACGTATTTTATTTAACCTCTTGACCTTATTTAACCTCTTTAACGTATTTTATTCTTATGTATGCAGTAAAATAATATAGGTATAACTGAGTTTTTGTTGTCACTGTAGTAGTTCTCTACATAATCTCCATATTGGAGCTAGAGGTGTTGAGGTTGAAAGATGCTGGATTATTTCAGGAAATCCAAGTAACTTCATTGCTAAAATGTTCAAAAATAAGAATCTTCATAATTCACAATCATCTTACACAGTGAATGTTTGCTAAATGCTACTCTATATAGTTAGACTTACTATGGGGGAAATTTCAGATTTTCAGCAGACTCCAGCCTCATCAATTAATATATTCTGCAACTCAGAATATAATGGTTTTTTCTATGATAAAATAAAAAATACATTTGTGTCAAAGTGGGTGGGGTGGGGTGGAGAAGCAGAGCTGCTAGACCATCTGACAAAAAGAAGCAGAGTTACTGTGAGTCTTCTTCCTATTGTGTTATTAAGTTCAGTGAAACCATCACTTTAAGATTCCCTCAGCTTCTTAAGATTGGAGCTCTGGTCCACATCTTTCCCAGTGGGAACAAGAATGGGATAGTGAATAATAAACTCCACATTAAGGCACTCCCAGAATCATGAAGCAGTGGCTTCCCTATAGATGGTATCCCTATAGGAAAAGCAAGGAATGATCAAAGCTGAAAGGGCCACCACCAGAGGATACCAGAAACATCTTGAAATAGTAGCTTAATTAGATATTGATTTTCTCAGCCCTGGCTTTTCCTGATGAGAAGGATAAGGGGAAAACAGGGTTGGGAAAATACCAGCGTGAAACTACCCCAGCCTGCTGCCTTCTCAGCTCTCAGAGGGAGTTTAGTTTAAAAGGGTAGAGAACTTTATAAAGGTGAGAACATCAGTGAGATCATTGCAGGCTTGATGAAAAGGCCTGGAGACTGAATTTGGACTATAGGCAAAATGTTTCTTGGTTCTGGCCTGAGGGGAATAATCAGACTCATGGTGGACAGTCCATTTAGCTGTGATGGTAAATGGAACTTATTAATAGTCAGCTCTAGCTCTAACATAGAACTACAACTTTGATTTTGTTCCAGCCTTAACCATCTTCTGCAGTGCATTTAGTCCAATTATTCTGGGGCAAATGTCTTACTTGATATGCATTCATTTTATTAATCTGTTCTACTATTGACAAAATGACAGATTTTAAAATTACAATGATTCCTTGTCCATTTGGATCTCTTTTTTCCTTTAGTTTTAAAAATATAATAAATTCCTTAATAAAGGCTAAATGATCTAACAGGATTTATTATTAGTCTCTATTAATATCATGAAGTATATTTTTTATTCATCCATCTGTTGTACTGGCATGATGCCCACTACTGCATGCAGTTAAAAAGAGTTACCAGTATAAATGTCCTGTACAAGGAACATTTATTGTACAAACAGTAGATGTCATCTGTTTTTCAAGCATGATAGAGGACAAAGAACCTGGAGAGGGCAGGAATTTTAGAACTCTCTAGTTAGAAAAAGAATGGACTTTTCCTATGTTTGGGAGGGGACATTTGTACAATTCTGAAAAAAAAGAAACCTACACATAATAAATTATTGGGAAAAATATATCAGGATCCCAACTGTTGCAAAATGCATGATGTTACCTATATTTCATTTCAATTGACTGCTATAAGTTAAAATAGTATCCAACAGTGCAAAGGTGAATTGATTCAAGGTCAGCCTGTTTAAGTACCTATTTGTGCTTATATAAGTACTGATCAGGAGCATGGATAGCGCAGAAGAACTTGCATCACCATTTTCTCTTTTACCATTCAAGTGAATTACTTTGCCAACATCTGCAAGAAAGCATGTTCTCACACTGCTTTGTGCTAGAGGAAAACAATTATGCCGAATGAGGTAGACTAGCTCTGTTATTGCGGTACATAAGACTTTGATTACATACTGCCAAGATTCATACCAGCCTAGTAGTTGTTGACAGATAAAGTAACAAAAATGAAACTCATTTATTTTTTTCTTTATTGAGACCTCAAGGTAAAGCAAATTTTCAGGTCTTGTACTTACTGCATGGAAAAAATAGATCCTGACAGTCAAAGTGTGCCAGTCCAGAAATCTAAATTAAACCTAGTTTCATATCAAAGTTTCATTTAGGCTCTGAGAAGGAGCTGCTGCTAGCATTACTTTTTTTTTTTTAAGCAAAAGTAAATATACTGTTTCTACAGTATTCATTGCTTTTGTTTTCCTTGCCATAGCTCTTTGATCCTTGCGTCCGTGTCTGTGGGTGTGTGCTTTCATTTTCATTTATTTTATCTGAGGGAAGACTTTTAAAAAAGAAAATAAGAGCAAATTCCCTTATTTTCACGTCCAAATGCGTATCCCGTTCTCATGGCTGCTAAATTATTCTTTTATTTCATTCCTGTAATGAACAGAAACAAAAATTAGTGTTCAGAATAACTTAAGCAAAACATTTAGCTGACTCAATTGTGAAGCTTACAACTGTGGGTTTGGTATCACTGCAATCTTTTCTATTTAACAAGGCAGGATACTACTGCTTTGCCAAACTATAGCACCCCATGATTGTAGAGGATTCTTAAGCAGGGCCATTGCTGCACCAAGAACCATACTCACATTACACCAGCACTTCCCACTCTTGCAATAATAGGAGCTTCCACATGGATGGAAAAGTAAGTGCAATCTAGAAGGATAGCATCTTTTCAATTCATGCCTTTGATCATTGCTACCATGAAAAGCTGCTTCCAGCTCAAAGAGGACCCCCCCCATACTATAGCAATCCCCTTATAGATGGAGAATAAGGGTATAATTGGTGCCACCTCTCATTCAGTAATATTATCTAGTGTAAATGTTAGCCTGCTTCTACTTCTGTAAGGATACCAGGAGACCCATTACTGGAAAATAATAAAGAAACCAAGCCTGTTTTATCTCGTAAAGATAAGAGTTTGTGTCAGCTGATGCCCTTCTCTCTCTTTTTAAAACAAAATATAAATTTCATTAGTTCCTGGAGCACTATGTACGGCCAGCTATGGAAATGGAAACTGCTAAATGAGTACTTTTATTCCATCAAATTGTTATGTGGATGCTGAGCCCAAGTTAATACAATTGCGGCTCAGATTAATGAGGCAGCATTCACAGCATCTCCTCTGTAATTAAACACTTCCATGGTTGACAATAGTATTAAAGATGCACCAGATGTTGAAAGCTGAGTGGTGAAACTTAAAACTGTTAAAATGGAAGGGGTCACCTGTGAAACACAATTTTCTTAACAGTTTCTTTTAGAGCCCATCTCAAGAATAATTTTAGTTTAGGAGTAGGTTTAGATGGTGTTGTTTTAATCAACCTATCATCTACATTTGAGAATTTTCTCATTAATTTCCGAGCAAAAGTAACATAAACTGAACTTGTTTCCAAAATTACCTTTTCTGACCTTCCCCTAGATGATAATTATGAAACCAGTCAGCTTAGAAGACTTTTTTTTTTTCTTTTTCAAAAATATATCTTATAAAGTAGTAGCAGAAATGCCCCTCTTGCTTGCTAGTGTTGGATTTCAAAATTAACATTTTGGTTCATGTGCTTCTAATAATCACTGACCCTTACTTCATGTACTTTCCACAGGAAATGAATGCAGCAGAAATTACTTTGACCCTCTGATGGATGAGGAAATAAACCCAAGGCAGTGTGGGATGGAGGTCAGCAAAAAAGGTGAGGCAGAATTAAGTATGTAATTTTTGTGTCAGAATATTCTTTCCCGTTCATGGAAATGAGGTGACAAAGATCACAAATTCGGTTCCATTTAAATATCCAGCTTACAATTTAAATTATAAGTTTTAGCTGCTCTAAATGTGATGGGAAGCTTTGGGAGTCTTTGATGAAGGACAGTGTGTTAGTGGACAGATAGAACAAGCAACTCTGAGCCACGTTTGTTCTGGCATCCTGCTTACAGGTCTGCTAAGCCAAATTTCTTAAGTGTAGTTGAAGAATGGAAGGGGGAACTGCCTACTAAGCATGTTAACTAATTAAAAATATTTAAAATACACAGTCAAAACAAGTATAACAAGATGTGCAGTATTGGCTTGGCTTTGAATAAAGGTGCTGTGGAACTAAATGTATTATCATTGTGTGAGTTCATACTTGGGTCTTTTGCTGAGAAAATGAAATATTTTCTCAGGCCTTAAATCCTGCTGTATAAATGGAATGCAGAGCAAGTAAAAGGATCACATTCATATTCCTTTTAAAATATTTCTTTTTGTGGCTCACTTCAAAAATATGGGCTTTGTTACATACATTTTAAAAATAGTTTATCATTTTTAAAAAGAATGTTAACTATGGACATATATAAATAGTAATCTTCTCTAAACCGGCCCCATTTGAGACGTACTAGACTATAACTTCTAGAATTCACCAGTCTGATTGGGAATTTAGGGAACTACAGTGTAACAGATCTAGAAGATCCTAGATCAGGGCAGATCTGAAGAAAAAAAAAATCTCTGTTAGATATGTACAAATACATATATGAACAAAGTCAACAGAATGTGTTTGTTCCTCCCATTTATTTGTTCAATATTATTTAACAGCAACAGTTATAAAGGGTACAGCTACAACTACTTGATCTCCATTACTGATTGCTACTCTCTTATAAAAGGAGCGTAGGGCTAGGCCTTTAACCCTCGTACTGGAACTGGCCATAGAGAAAGAAGGGGAACCACTGGAAAACAGTGACCCTCTCCATTTTCAACCCCCTAATCCAGTCCAGAAGGATATGAAGGATATGATAGTAAGAGATCCAGTAAGGCCAGGATGGATGTACCACCTCATCCCTAGTTCTCAAAGGTTATCCACAAACATAGCCAATGCCACCTCAGTGCTATAGCCTGGCCTGAACCTTGACTGAAAAATCTGGTTCCTGAGGGGCTTTCTGAAGCTGAGTGGCCACCACCTTCTCAACAATCTTCCCTAAATGAAAAAATGAAAGTTGTCCAACATGGTTGGACCCAACAATGGCATCTTGAGAAGGGAGTGAACCACTGCCTCCTTCAAGCAGGTGGAACTACACCCTCCCACAAAGAGGCATTAACCACTGCTTGGACCTAGCTCCATGCCACTTCCCCAGAGGTTTTGACTAGCCAGGAGGATCATGGGTCCAGAGCACAGTGGCAGAGCTCATAGCAGCAAGGACTCTGTCCAATTCCTCAGGATCAACTGGTTGAAACTCTTCCCAGATAACTGAGCAAAGGCGCATCTTGGTCACTTCCATAGGACCTGTCCAACTGGAGTCCAATTCAGAATGAATCCAAATGACTTTATCTGACAGATGCAAGCAACTTTATCTGAAAGCATGGGGTTCCCTGAGCCCTCCTTACCAAGGTGGGATCTGGTCTTGTGAAACAGGACCACTGGGCAGCTTTCTGAATATGCAATAAGAACATAATTACAGTATGAGGATAGTTCCATATATATATGTGTATGTATACACATACACATACATACAGAATTTTAGTAATAACAGTAAAATAAGAATTTTAATTATAATAGTAGAATCTAATCCAAACTGAACTTAAAGAAAGAAAAGAGAACAGAAAGAGTAAAAGGTGCAAGAAAAAAGAAAAAGAAAGAAAAAAGAGAGAAGAAAGAGAAAAATAAGAATATAATAAAGAGAAGAGAAATATATAATGACTTCTGGGGGAGGTATGGCAAACTGAAGATGGCTGTGCAAAAGTGGAGCTGAGGACTGTGGCAAAGATCAAGGAACCAGGGAGTAGACCGGTTCCTTGGAACCTCTCTGGATGAGGGGAGGACAGGAGATTGCCCACAGGTGCTCTGGATGGCTGGTCCTTGCAAAGAGACCACAGGACAGTGGTTTTTCATGGTTGAGCACCAGGAGACAGGATTAGCCATCTTGCTCACAACCAGTGAAGACTTTTAAAGGACACTAGGTTTGCAAACCTCACTTTCTATTCACTTTTGGAAATTGGTCATTAACTGTTTGTAAGCTATTAAAGAGCTTTGGAATGACAAGTTTGAAAATTCTGGGTGAGTCTGCTTTCAATACTGAA